GCAGTGATCGCGTCGTGGCACAAGAAGACGACTCGTTTGCGAAAGTCCTTATCAGGGGGGATGTAGAGCTTCCCGTGGTGATAGATGAGGTCATCGCGCACTTCCCACTCGAGGAGTCCGTTCGCCAGTTTCCGAGGGCCCTTCTCCTTGAGGATGCGGAGAGCCTCGACGACTTCAGGGTTGAGTACCTGTGCGTCTCGAATCTCCTGCTCCAGGGTGCTCGTATCCGTGAGGGTGGCCGAGAGAGAGACGAACCGCTCGGGTCCCAGTACGATCTGATCTCGGTTGTCCTCTGTGTCCATAGTCTGGTGGGTCGGGAGGCGAGAGAGGGGATCGGCTTGGGTGTTCGTCTTGCCAGGCTTGTGCGTGAGGTGGAAGTCGAAGCGGCTGAGGTATAAAGACCATCGAGCCTGTCGACGAGTGAGGTTCCGTGCGGTGCGCCAGTACTCCAGATTACGATGATCCGTGACAATCTCAAAGGGTTCAGGGAGCCCCTCGAGGTAGTGTCGCCAGTCCTCAAGAGCACGGATGATCGCTAGCATCTCTCGGTCGTAGATCTTGTAGTTCCGTTCCGCTTCAGCCATTGACTCAGACCAATAGGCCACCGGGTGCCAGAGGTCGTCGTCCAGCTTCTGCAGTAGCACTCCTCCGGTCGCGAAGCCAGAAGCGTCCACCTCGATCCGCGTGGGCCGAGCCGGATCCCAAGAGACCAGCACGGGCTCGCTCGTGAACGCGTCCTTGAGGGCTTGGAAGGCGAGTCGCTGCGCGGTTCCCCAAGTCCAGGGGACGTCCTTCTTGGTCAGGTCGTTGAGCGGTCGCGCGTGCTTGGAGAAGTCCTTGATAAACCGACAGTAGAAGTTGGCGAACCCTAGGAAGCCGCGTAAGTCGCGCAGGTTCTTGGGGGCTGGCCACTCGGTGACGGTCTTGACTTTGACCGGGTCCATGGCCACCTCGCCTTCGCGGATGATGAGGCCGAGGTACTCTACCTCTGTCTTCTCGAACCCGCACTTCTCCGGTCGCAGGTAGAGGTCGTGTTCCTGGAGTCGTTTCAGCACCTCGTGGGTTACGGCGCGATGCTCTTCGATGGTGGTGCTGAAGATGAGAATGTCATCGAGGTAGACAGCAACCTTTCCTGCGGCGATCAGATCAGCGAAGATTGAGTTCATCAAGGCTTGGAACGTAGCGGGGGAGTTGGTGAGTCCGAACAACATGATCTGTGGTTCGAATAGGCCTCAATCGTGGACTGTAAACGCGGCCTTCCATTCATCGCCCTCTTTGATGCGGACGTTGTGGTAGCCCCAACGGACGTCAAACTTGGTGAAGTACTTGGCTTGGCGCAGGCGACTGATGATGTCCGTCGCGAGGGGGAGACGGTACCAGTTCTTCACCGTGATCTCGTTGAGCTTGCGGTAGTCCTGGACTAGATGGAGCTTGCCATCCTTCTTCTTTACGAAGAAGACCAGGGACGCCATCGGGGACTTGGAGGGGACTTGGAGGGGACTATGTAGCCTTTCCGAAGGTTTTCCTCGAGGAACCGATCGACCTCCTCCTGCTCATTAGGCGACATCGGATAGGCCTTGGAGCGTAGAGTTTCTGGGGCGTCGGGTTTGAGGTCAATGGCATGGTCGTACGGCTTGTGCTCTGGAAGGCGCTCCGATTCGGTCTCAGAGAAGACCTTCGAGTACTGTCGGTACTCTTCAGAGACGATCTCCTCGAACGTGCGTTTGGGCTTGTCCTGGTTGGCCTTCTGTGCGAGTTCCGTGGAGTAGGTGTACCCGGCGGCGCACCACAACTCCTCAGTCGTGTCCTCCAGGACCTTAGCCTTCCACCACTTCCTTTGCTGCACCCGGTTGGCGGCGATCCGCTCAATACCAGGTTTCCATTCCGCCTCGGCCTCTGTTTCCTCCGCACCAACCTCCATGGTGCCCTCCTGCCAGTCAATGTCCGGGTTGACCCTGCGAAGCCAAGGTAAGCCTCATACGAAGTCTTCGGGGCCCAGGTCTGTAACTAAGAACTCGAGCCATTCCGTGTAGTCGCCCATAAGTACTTGTAATCTAACGTAATGGGATATGCTGCCTGCACTGTTCTTGGAGCCGTCAATGTTGTAGAGGGGGACATCTCTAGCTAGCCTATGTAAATAGACGTTGTTCTTCTTTACGAAACGGTGGCTGATGAAAAGGGCCGTTGCCCCACTGTCTATCATAGCTGCGGAACGTACACTACGGTTTCTGCCTTTAAGTATCACACTGACGCGGAAATGCGAGCTGGATGGGTTTAATTCGGGAATGATACACGGACTAACACTATCGTACAGGCAGGGGTCAGGGATCTGCGGAGGCGAAGAGTCCGTACTCGTACTGGAGGGCGCTGCTGCGGCAGCTTTCACACGCACCCGCTCTAAAAAGACTTCTGCAGAGAGGCAAGCTGGTCTGCGAGGGCCTTCTGCTGCTCCATGAGCTGGGCGACGAGGGCGTTGGTTGCTCTGGCGTCCGCAGATGTCGATGTTGACGCTGCGACCTGGGGTTCCTCAGGTCCCTCCTCCGTGGCGGCGAGCTTCTGCGAACGGGGCTTCTTCAGGAACTTGTCCATGCACACTGTCTCGCGGTGCCCTACGCGGCGACAGTAGCCGCAGATGTCCTGATCATGGCTGCCGTCCTTCTTGACGTGCGCCGTAGACCCGCAACTGTAGCACTTGCCGCGTATGAGGCGGTTGAACTCTTCGCGCGTACGGGTCGCATCGATGTCCATTGCGTTCGGGTCTCGGGCAGGCGGCGTGAAGGGGGTGGTATGCAGCGGAACAGCCGGCTTGGCCGTGGTGGTGGTGGTGGTGCATCCGCGCTGACGATCCCGTTCAGCACGGCGTTGGCAGACACGGACATCGATGTCGGAGGAGACGGTGATGAGGTCTTCGAGAGAAGCGATGGGCCTCGCTGTGTGCACCAACTCGTCCTTGATGGAGTCCGCCAGGTGTTCGTAGAAGCGGTCTCGGAGGTCGGCCTTGGAGTAGCCCGTGTGGGTGGAGAGCTCGTTGAACCGTGCGGCGTACTCCGGGACAGTCATGGAGCCTTGCCACAATGTACGGAGGCGCTCTTTTGCATCGACCGCCTCGTCGACCGTCTCGAATCGGGCCTTGAACTGGGTGCGGAACTCCGTCCACAAGCCTTTGAACGGGGTGGTGCCCTGCGTGATCTCCTCCATCGCCGGAGTGGCCCAAAGAGCCGCACTGTCCTGCATGAAGGAGAGGACTGCCCGAATCCACTGGTCGTCACGCGCGCTGATCACATTGCCCGTGGCGTCCACGTGGTTGAGCATTGATCCTTGGGACGTGGCCTAGAGAGTGAACGCGGCCAGGAAGCGTTGTGCTTCGCCCCCCTGTTCGCCTTTGAAGGGAGAGGGCTTCTGAACCGCCTTCAGGCTGTTGGCCCCGGTGGTCGAGTTGGCGAGCTGCGCCATAGACTGAGTGAGGAGGGTCATCGATTGGAGTAGTACCGTCATGGGGTCCGGGGGTCGTGTTGCTGTCTGGGTGCCCAGTTGGGCCTGCTGTGGGTTGTTGGCGGGGCCTGTCACCTGCGGTTGTCCGCCTTGTTGTCCCATGATGGGCGGAGCGGATGGTGGGCGAGTTGGGGGGAGGATAGGGGATGGGGGAAGCGCGACGAGTAGCGCTACTTCGAGCTCTTCGGTCGGAGTACCGGGGATGGGGGATCGAGTCGTGGGTGACTCAGCAACGGGGGAGTCAGGGACTGGGATGAACTCGTCCTCAAAGGCCCTTGAGTTGATCCGATCTGGGCAGTGATGGCGATTTGGGCAGGGGTTCAACTCACACGGTTCCCAGTACCAGAGTCCGTCTGCTGGATCCTTTCGTCGGTGGCAATGAGCTTCATCGACAGAGTCCCACGCGTGAAGTCTGCCGGTGCAGTCCAGGGTGGGGAAGACAACGTGGTAGCGGTGGGGACACCCTTATTCAGAGCGTCAGCACCGGGGGAGAGATCTCGACCTAATGTCGCGGCGACTAGGCGTGTAGACTCGGGTCGACGTTCGGCGATGACCCTGTGGGTGAGCGGCAAGGAGCCGAAAGGAAAGGAGAGAGATAGGGAGGGATAAAAGTGTCAAGAAACTCGACGAGGGCAGAGCGGTGGCCGGCACGAAGGCACAGGACCGACGAAAGCCAGTCTTCACGCAAACAGCGACAGACTAGTCCCAATGACCAAGTTATACATTAGCAATCAGAGAGAGATACAACGCTATGGTCACTCACCTAGTCCCAATGACCAAGAGGTCGAGATGGGGACTAGGGAGTGCCTAAGGGGGTCCTTATATACTAGAAGGGCTACTTAGCAACCAAAGACAAGGCGCGAGAGCGAGGTAGTGAAGATGACAAAGGGAGAACAAAGGGCGGGAAGGAAAAGGCAAAGGCATGGCGATCACGGGAACGTAGCATGCGGGTGTGGGAACGTATCTACAGTGTCCAAATTGGGATGGGCTAGGAAAGGAAATGGTCTGCGAATGGAAGGTGGGCGTCAAAGGGAGGGGGATGGGCGGCAAAAAGGGGCATCTGTCCAACGTCCGTGACACTCATGATGTGAAGCCTTAGAGAGATTTAGCAGGGCTTTATCAAGACAGTCAGAGTCGCAATCAGGCCCAACGGAGACAAGACCAGTCAGCCTTCTCCTCCTTCCGAGTTGGCCCGCGCGCTCGTTGTGCCCTTGCGCCACTAAACATGGCATTCTCCGGCCGTCGGAACTGGCAATGCTCCTCGTTGACAGTGAGTCCCCATTGCTCTGCCTCTCTTATCCGCTACACCCATCGCACTGGCTTGTTGACGACTATAGCACAAGCGTACAATCTCCACCTATACTGGATAGATTGCCATGCCACGGCGATCGAAGCGCAAAGGATGGTCACTAGTCGAATCTGACCGTGACAGCGGTTCAGATGTACGTGTCGCATCTTTCAGTCGTCCAAGTACTCCAGTGCATCATGCTTTTGCTTATACTTCATCTTTCTCGCAGTCCACACCTGCCACTCCGCCACTGAGGCAAAAGTGTACACGCACAGCAAGCACGAAACAGCAACAGATAGGTTCGGTATAATCAGTTGCTTCATTATATGCAACACTTCACTGATATTTTGCACAATGTCGATCCCTGGGCGTTGATTGTAGACCAGCAGCACAAGACCAAGGAACAAACAGAACTTGAACGCCTCCGTCGTGAACTCCACAATGCCAAAAAGCGACTCATGAAGCAGAAGAAGAGTCAACACGTCGAGGATCAAGCTGGGGACAGTGCCGATGCTGAGGATGATGGTGTGGATGGGCTTCCACCCGAATCAGAAGACGGCAGCAGCGACAAGGATGCTATTGCATCCCTCCAGGCTTCTGTACGTTCGTGGGAGGCCTGATATTATAATGGCTCTGATTCATCGTTTATACTCATAGCTCATGCGTCGGCAGACCACTGCAGTGACGCCAGGCCCTGCTGCCCGCATCCGACGTTGTGAGGGGCACCAACAAGATTCACTGGCACCTGATGTGGTGTCCACCCCGTCCACGTCTGAACAGCGGACGTTGATGGTCCCGCAGGCTGCAGTCTCTCCCAACTCTGTTCCTTCGACTCCAGCTACCCCCGCACCTGCCAACGCCCCACAGTCAATTTGCAACTCTGATGACTCCAGCGAGGTGCGTGGTACTGTGGCATCTCAGATTGCATCTCGTACCGTGTCTCGTACCGCATCGCATACCGCATCTCGTACCACATCTCCAAGTCCTGCCCCTTCGCAACGGAATGCAATGTTCATCTCCCCTGTGCCTCTTGGCAATACTCCGACTAATGTTGACCATGCGGATTCCAGAAATCTTGCTGCCGCACCCTTGACAGCACCTTCGATTCCCCAACTCCGGTGTCGCGGCGACTAGGCGCGTAGACTCGGGTCGACGTTTGGCGACGACCCCGTAGGCGAGCGGCAAGGAGCCGAAAGGGGAAAGAGGGAGGGAGAGGGATAAACGTGACAGAAAACTCGACGAGGACAGAGCGGAGGTCGGCACGAAGGCACGAGACCTACGAAAGCTAGTCTTCACGCAGACAGCGACAGACTAGTCCCAATGACCAAGTTATGCATTAGCAATCGAAGGGAGATACAACGCTATGGTCACTCACCTAGTTCCAATGACCAAGAGGTCGAGATGGGGACTAGGGAGCGCCTAAGGGGGTCCTTATATACTCGAGGGGCTGCTTAGCAACCAAAGACAAAGCGCGAGAGCAAGGCAGTGAAGATGACAAAGGAAGAACAAAGGGCGAGAAAGAAAAGGCAAGAGCATGGTGATCACGGGAACGGAGCATGTGGCAGTGGGAACGTATCTACAGTGTCCAAACTAGGATGGGCTAAGAAAGGAAATGGTCCAAAAATGGAAGGTGGGCATCAAGGGGAGGGGAATGGGCGGCAAAAAGGGGCGTCTGTCCAGCGTCCGTGACATCCGGTCAGCGCCTTTCCGGAGCAGTGAGGAGCCATCCCCTCAAGCTCGGCTGTCTGCCCATGACTACATCGATGAAGTCAAGAGTCTGCTGACGGCAGCTGGCTCTTACTACTCATGTTATCTTTTTACAGATGATCTCTTCCCCGGTCCAAGCAAGCAGCGCGAGTTGGTAACTCGTGCCTGGAATGCTGCTTGTGCGGCATGTGAGACTCCACCGCTCTATGTTCTGTCTGAGCATATGATCCGTATAGTACGTCATTGTTCCATCTATGCAACATTGGGACATGTAATTACCGGTCACGGTTATTGTCAGATTGGCTCACGGAAGTCTTATGTTCACGGAGACGTTTCTGACAATATCCGCGCCAAGATCATCGACGCCTATGGGTTCTGCCGCACTGCATCTGCAGCTGCTGAGGTACACAAGATGGCATGTTTCACCATAAGGTGACTTTTCGACTTCTTTGCCGTTATCAATGGGTGCAAAACTCTGACTTGGACGCAGACTTTTGATGTTGCTACTGGGCACAAAGAGAAGTACAGCGAGCACGCCCTCATAGGTCGCTCTCTGGAGATCGCTTTTTTTTCAAATACGCGCACTGGTGTCGGCTTCCTGCACTCGGAATTTTTCGATCCGATTCCCGATCAAGCACTTGCGTTCGTGCACACTTTTGTAAGCCTATTCTCCTTATTATTTCTAATTGTGGTTTCTGATTCATCCAAATCCTTGATGCTCGGTCAGATCCACGCGCACATCTGCGAGTGGTTCACTGGCCGCCACATCAGGGAAGACTTTTCAGAGGTCAAGAATGCTACGTTCTATGCAGGTTTTCTGGCCGATCTACAATCGTATGGCAGCAAAAATCCCTCCGCATGGCTCAACATCCGCAAGCGTATGTATTCAAGTGCATTGTAAGTGGTTGTCGTGTCCTATCCTATACTACTACTCATAGATGGACCATACTCTAGCACTGCAAGTGGTGGGGCCACACTTCGGGCACAGATCACTCGAGTGTCAACATTCGCTATGGAGGCCGCTACAGCAGAGCTCGAGGGACGGACCGGTCTCACTGACAGTGAGACCGAGGGCGAAGCTAGGGCGGGCGGACTTTGAGCTCGTATACTATGTACCTCTCGACGTCTATGCTTGTTAGATGTCTCCTTTGATGCCCAATGCATACCATACTCCATTCAATATGTACATCGCGGTGGATTGGAAGGCAGAAAATGTGGAAGCAACGTATACTAGGCAAGCTCACCTTGCTCGGTACGTTCTCGTAAGACCTCGGGCGCGCTCATGAGCACTCATGAGCGCCTCAGCCCTTCTCACGAGGCCTCGCCGAGTGCCGCTGGGTGCTCGACAGTACGCATGAAAGGGGGGGATGCCTCAGCCTGCTTGGACTGCTCGAGAGGCTTGAGAGGGTTCCCTAGTCAAGGTTTTTTTTCCTGATGCAGCCAGATGTAGTCGGCCCACTTCTCGGGATTGCGTAGGACCTGGCTCAGGAATGTGGACGACGAATTTCGATGGTGATCATAGAAACTGGTGAGGGAAAATGCGACCATGTACTTTTTGGTGAAGATGCGGCGGAAGAGCTGTTGTTTTCTACAGCACGTGAATCTCTTCTCAGAAGAGTCATACAGAGCTATCACGAGTGGTATCAGGTATGTACCGCTGCGGTGTGGGGTCGGCTTCGGCAGACCGACGTCGCTGTCGTTTCCGCACCCATAAACTTACTAGATCATGAGGCCACTCGTTGGGGATAGACTAGATCACCTATTCGCTTCCGACGAGATAGGATCGGTGCTCGGGCAGCCCGGACGTCCAAAGACCATCGGTTTTGACGCCGCCGAGGTTCTCACGTAATTGCTCGTGGCTATTCCATCTGAATGCCTGCGAAAATAAGTCAGAAATTGCCGCTCTGTATGCCTTCTGATAATGGCGTACATGCGCTTCAACCATAACAGAAGTGTGATGAGACTCAGCTATGAATCAAGGGTCATGGGCCAGAATACTCCGGCCGCCCACATGTGAATGCGGGAATGCCAGTCGCTCTACGTAGTGATGATGCAGGAAGCTCCGTCCTCCGCCGGTCCCTCGTACAGGTGTACATCAGCAGAATTCTAGAAGTGTGCTCTACAAGAGTTGACAGATACTTGATCTCTAATCATATGCATGCTTCGCATGCGAAGCACCTCCTACAGACAAGAATATGCAGTTAAACTATCAGTACTGACAAGTAGAGTTCTGCACTTTAGATCTGCAGAACTCAGTAGCCCATCAGTATGACTTGGTGGCTGATCAGAAACCAAAAACACAGATTCCGGGTCACCCTCGTCTTCACCGTCTTCGTCCGAATATTCATCGCCTGCATCTGACTGACCAGCATCACTCACAGAGTAGTTGTAGAACTTCCGAACACCACTTCGGCGACGGTTTCAGGGTGTGGCTACAGTAACGAATATAGAGAATGTACATGATCGACAGTTGGAAGCCCGAGCATGCTTCAGCACGTCCTAGTCGTTGCGACACAGCTTGAAGACACTTACCTGCCACGCACACTATGAGGTGCCAGACCCCGGGAGACGATCGCGACTCTCCTTTGCTCCTGGCTTCACACAATAGCAGGTGGAGGTTTATTCCGTGCCCTTGCCCAAGGGCACGGATTAGTTGCTCAGGAAGGTACGCCTTGATACTCCACCCTGACTAGCCAATACCTCTCGACCAACACGTCGCCCAGCTCAGGCGAATAGCGACAGACTACTCGGACCGTGTCCTCCGACAGTTCTTCCTGCCGGTATATGTACCTCCCAAAGTAGACGAATATATCAAGCAAGACTTAGAGCCAACGCACCGCTGCCACGACCCTGTCAGCAAGGCGTCTTAGCATGTCATGCCGTATAGCACAGACGGAGAGTGGCTAGCAGAAGGTACATCCCGATGGTACCGTTCCCTGTCTGATTGGTGAACGACATCAGCTAGGCACTGCAGACGTCACAACGCATAAACTATACATCTTGGACCTGGGGCGAGAAGGTTCACCTGAGAGTACACTTGACGGAGGCCGCGAGCTGCTGACCTACGTGCACATACGCCGTCACTTCGACGGCAGCCTCGGCGCCATTCTCGCCGTCTCTATGGAAGCTGTCCTCAGAACACGGTGCCTAACGTTCAGATGAAGTGTGCTGTGATGTTCCCGACTGTGTGGCTGACGGTGGAGCTGAGGCATGTGCTCCACACACAAGCCCACCATACGTCCTAATGCCAGCGTCGGACGAAGCCGTACCTGTGAGGAAACGCATTGGGGATCTCCTTGGCAAACGTTCTGCGTTCTGCGACCCCAACCCGACCGGCCCACGATCCCTCACGTTCAGCAAACGGCGATGGTTGTCCCGGCCATCGTTGATGCGGGCCGTGACGAGAAAAGCCCTACCCCGAGCAGGGCGTCTCCGACTTTGGAGGACTTCAAGGACGAGAGTGAGCCTGTTTAGTAGGATGCTTCGCTAGAGCTGACCCTTCGCATGAAGCGCGATGCCCTCCTCTAGTTTGCGGCGCTTTGCTTCTTGATCTTTATGTCTGGTTCGAACGACAGTACTATGGGTCCCTTGCTCCTGCGTTTTCAAGTAAGTTTGTATCGACTCGCTTTGCTGCATTCACCTTGACATCGGTAAGCTCACAATGAGCTACTCTACTCTGCATACGTCTCACGGGCGTACGTGGACACGTCTTCGTAGGTCGGAGCACTGCGCAGAGTGATGCGCATCAGCATCATCCTCCGGGACCCGTCTCTCGATTGAACCATCGCAAGTAGGGTGCAGACGGTGGACTCACCTGGTGGACACCGCCGCCGCAACAGAGACAACCCCAAACACAACGCGCCAGAAGCCCATCCCCAGCCGCTCGAGATACTGCCCGTCCCTCCTGGGTATGGCGATTGTCGGCGATGCCACGGTCAACTTCGCCTTGCTCAGTCGCAATGCGCATGCTCGTGGTCGCAGCCCAGCTAGCGGATGCGCTCGGCCTCCTCCGCGGCCTTGCGCTCTGCTCCCTCCAAGTCCATTGTGGTTTCGGCCTTTTTCGCGCGGAGTTCCCCCAAGGTTGGAGGAGGCTTTGCTGGCGAGGGAGGCAGGGGAGGAGTTCAGGCGGGATGTGTGAAGCTTCGACGTGGGCCTGGAGGACACGATAGAAAGAGGCGGAGGTGAAGCGGAAGGAGGCAGCGCAGACTGCGCGGGCGGCGCTACCGAGGCTCGCTGCTTTGCCGATTACTGCAGGCGAAGCCAGCTTGGAGGAGTGCGTGTTAGTGAGGATGCCGCCAGTAAGTCGTCGTATTCGCCTTCCTGTCGCACTCATATATAAGGGCATTCCTAGATTCCCGACATGATCGTCGTGCTCGGCGCCGAACTCGCCGCAACGCCTGTACGAACGCGACGAAGACGCGCCCTGAGTGCAACCGAATGCTCTTTGCGGTGTTCTCAAATCCCATTTAACAAGGACACTCGAAACCGCATCCCAAGCAGCCAACTCCGAGCCAGCAAGTGACCCGTCCCAGGATACTTGCCGCGGGGAGACAGGGTCCTGCAAGTTGTGAGCACAGGGGCCGCGCCAGGAGATGGGTGTGTGAGGTAACCGTAAAAAGCGAGAAGCAGGGAAGCCAGGAAGACGGGAAGGCATAGGCGACGTAGTCATACTGAGGACGGCAGTCAGGGTACGCATCTGGTGAAGACTCTGCAGGAACAGCTTGGTAACATCCTTGCTATTAAGGTTCTCGGAACCTCTGCACCTGGCCTACAATGGGAAGTGCAGATCAACTAAGAGCAGAAGAGCTGCTACCCCTTGAAAAGCTCATGGCAGGTGACGGTACATATATAGTACGGCAACCAAGACATGAGCTGATGTAGAGGTAGCGCTTCTGCATCATAGCGACAGCGACACATTGTCCATGACATCGTGAGATGCAAAGGACAGCAAGCATAGGTCAAGGAAGAAAATTTGGGGCGCGAGCCAGGAGATGTTGGGCTTACCGGTGAGTAGACTGTCCCAGCTCCGGGGAGTACTGACCAAAGACAGGCGTACAGTGGGTCATCTGGAGGAGCGTCGAGGAAACATTGAGGAAGATGCATTCGACGGGGCATCGTGACAGCGGGCCGTTATGCACGCGGAGGCGGGAGGGACGAAAAGGTGGATACGGAGCCAGCAACAGAAGTCTCCACGCCAAGGAGGGGCAGTCGCAGGGCGTTCCGATAGGTATCGTGATGAAGGAGAAGACACGATGAGAAGGGGAAGGCACACAATCGCACGAGACAACCAAGAAGATAAGAGAAAGACGTACTGATCAAGAAGACCTGTCTATGACCCTGAACGAGAATCCATTGCGTCGCCAAAGACATAGAAGACTGGGTGTAGTGAGGCCAAGCCGTGTACATTGGGACAAAGGAAAAGACACGCTGACGCGACGTGTCCCTGGTGCCGTAGAAGGGCAGTGGTACAGCGAGGATCCAGTGAGAACTGGAACTACCGTAGTCTACGTAGTTCAACAAACTTCCAAAGGATAGCATGGGCACAACAACAAAGTCATGTGACCGCAGGCGCGTGGAGCTTCCCAATGGCCCCGTGTGTTGAACAGGCGCTGGTTTACACAGCTTGCCTAATACAGCCGTCACAAGATATGGAACGGCACAGCCGGTTACTGCAATAACCGAGGCTGTACTACTCATGTGGTACACACACAGCTTCGCTGTGTACGCACTGCTTCTCTGTGCGACTGTGCATCCTGGGAATGTACTGTATAGTACTACGTAGCCACAGATGCACAGCAGGTTATATAGGGGACCTCTGTACCCCCAATCTACAGTTCAGTTCACTCGAACGTCTCCTCTCATCGCTCTTACAAGCCTCTTACAATCAACCAACCCTTCTAGGTGAGTTGCAGGCTATCCGCTGTCGTTGCCACCCGTGGGAGAGGCCTTCGCCCCCGGGTTCAACAGGTTATGAGCCCTGATCGACG